TATTATTTGCAACCGTACGAGTTTATGTAAATGAGCCCTGTTGCCTGGAACCAGTTTTAAAAGGAAGTTTGGCACCTCAGCGTAGCTAGGTATCTTTAAGAAGTTCTGTCAACAATTTTCTACCTATCTATCAATTAAATCGATTGAAAACCATTTTTTTAAATTTATTCTGTAATAAGATTTAAAAAGATACATAAAAATATATAGATATATTAATATATAAATTATTACTTTACTGCTGTATTTGTTTCTCTCTCTCTCTCTCTCTCTCTCTCTCTCTTTCTCTCTCTTTCTCTCTGTCACTCACTCTCAGACTGATTTTCAATCTTTCATTCTGTCTTTCAGTGTCCTCTCTTTCTCATTCTATCCTAATCTCTCATCTCAAACAGGTTTTCAATTTCTTTTTTCTGTCTCTTCTCTCTCTCTCTCTCTCTCTCTCTCTCTCTCTCTCTCTCTCTCTCTCTGTCTCACTCTCCCTCACTCTCTCTCCCCTTCGCTCCCTCTCGGTTCCTATCATCCTGTCTAAAATCTGTTGAGCTTTTCCTTCTATCTCTCACTCTCTCTCTCTCTCTCTCCCTCTCTCTCTCACTCACTCACTCTCGAATTCGGCACAATTTATTGTGAAGCTCTATTAATTCGGCTTGGAGGGAATAACAAAAGTATAAATCCTTGGTCAAAAGGCTGACAAAAAGCACGAAAATCGAGCACCAAAGCCAAGAGGATGTTGGAGAAGAGAATAATTCAAATAGAAAAACATTGATTTTTTAAATATCTTTCTTTCTTTCTTTCTCTATCGTTCACCCTCTTTCTCTCTCTTTCTTTTTATCAGTTTTACATACTGCCTCACTGCTTTTCTTTCTTTCTATGTCGTCTCTCTCACACTTTCTTTTCTCTCTCTCTCTCTCTTTCTCTTTCTCTCTCTCTATCTATCTATCTATCTCTTTCGCGCATACTAGTTTTATCTCTTTCTATCTCATCTCCCTCTTTTTCTATCTTTCTTTATCCTCAGTTTCAGACTGGTTTTATTGCTTTATTTCTTTCTATGTCCTATTTCCCTCTCTATCTCACTCCCTAACTCTCTTCTCTTTCTCTTTCTCTCTCTCACTCTCACTCTCCGACTAGTTGTCTCTCTTTCTTTCTCTTTTTATGTCATATTGCTATAAAAAATTGACAAAATAAAATGTATGCAACAAAAATATTATTTTCATTTTTTTTACATAAAAATCAGCATAAATTCGGAAAAACAAACATGATTATTGGAAAAGCTTATTTTATTACAGACAGAACCTGGGTTAACTTAATATACCACTTACATGAACCCCCCCCCCACACACACACACACACACACCCACACGTACACGTATTCATAATATAATATTGTGTGTTCAGATTTACAAGTTTCAAAAAGTGACACATACTAATCAAAGTTATTGATTAAATGATGCAAACGGACTGATCCTCTTTTGACACCTGTTGTAGTATGAATTTATAATTTTAGGTCAGTTGACGAATTAGAACGATTAGTATATTTGGGTTGTTGTAAATAAATTGATTCTTATAATAAAAACAATCGGTTAAATCGATATTTTGTTTCAGTTTTTAATAGTTATCATAGTGTAAACCTGTGACAACGGGTTCAGTTTTAAGACCGGATCGGAAAATAACCCTGATAATCGCAATTTTTTCGGGATTATTTATCCATAACGCGTCGATAACGGTTCGATGTTTCAATCCAAAAATAAACGCGTTGTTTATCTCAAAGGACGGTCGAAAAGCGTCCGGGTGGGGAATTTAATTTAACGACAAATTTCAACAATGCTATGGAATAATAAATTAGAGATAGTTAAATTATTATAACCAGCAATCTTGTTTTTTTTTGTTTCTTAATATTTAGACAAAATATATAGATTTACCTGGAATGTACAAAAGTTATATAAAGTTGTACTGAGATATTATTAATTACTGTGACACTTTTATTAGCACTTACGCACAAATGTCATGGTCTTTTAATTGTTTTATTATTTTTAATATTATATTTTTTTGCTCATAATATATTTTTAATAAACTGACTAAAGTTTTTTTGTATGCTTTTAATAGTTTAAACTAAAATGCTTTTAATGGAAATTTATGAATTCTATTACAAAAATTATAAAGCAAATTTTGTGCTGGTTTGTTTTATTAGTTTTTACAAAGAAATAAATGTTTGTTGGACGTGTTTGACCTAACTTAGAGTAAGAAATCGATCTATTATTTACTCAATTATTTTTATTAATTGTAAATTTTATTTAACGTTTGCAAAAATGATTTTGCCGTTTTTTACGAAAAAATGTCTGACTTACTGGATTCTCAAGAGTGTGGTCATATTGATGGTCGAGGTTGAAAAATTCGCTGGAATCCTCACAGAACAATTGAGTGTTATATAATACGGTTAGGATTATAAAGACGATAAACGTATCACAATTCAACAAGGTTCACAAGGTCTACAGAGTACCAACACGATGAACCAGTGATGAAATATCTCAATTTGAGGCAAAAAAAAAATCACATGAACCGGCAGATAGGCGTGGAAACGAAACCGTGAAAAGAGACGTTCGAGGGAAATGGCACGTGGATATAAAGACCTCGAGACACCGGGAAAACGTTTTCCGAGAACGTTCGCCGTTTTGTTATCAATTTTCCTTTAACTTTTAACGATGCCTGCTGTGCAAATAATATACACCCGACTAATCAAATATTTATACTATCAACGGACCGAATTGAATTTCACTTAGTTGTATTGCTATCAACAAACAATATATAACTTTTATATTGTAAGCGAGGTGTCTGATAACGTGTTGACAGTCGCCCCCTTCAGCAAAATCCAAAATTTTGTTTGCAAAACAATTTGAAAAGAAAACACTTTCTCGTAAAAAAAATCATTGAAAGAACGGCACATTTATTCCCCTTAATTCATACTTAATTTTGCCATTACGGACTTCTACAAACGTGATACATTTGTTAATCAAAAATGTACTATTTATTTTTTTTAAATATCATTTCATCTTCTGTGAAGTGTTCGTTTCTTTGGATATGGCCATTTCTATGTGATTATTAAAATTTTTTAAAATTTTGTAAGCGATTTTCTGTTTTGTCTATTTCTCTCTCTCTCTCTTTCTTTCTCTCTCTCTCTTTCTCTCTCTCTCTCTCTCTCTATCTCTCTTTCTTTCTTTTTTTCACTCTCAATGTACCTCTCATTCCTTCTTTCTCTCTCTCTCTCTCTCTCTCTCTCTCTCTCTCTCTCTCCCTTCCCCCCTCTCGGTTCCTATCATCCTGTCTAAAATCTGTTGGGCTTTTCCTTCTTTCCTTTTCTCTCTCTCTCTCTCTCTCTCTCTCTCTCTCTCACTCTCGAATTCGGCACAATTTATTGTGAAGCTCTATTAATTCGGCTTGGAGGGAATAACAAAAGTATAAATCCTTGGTCAAAAGGCTGCCAAAAAGCACGAAAATCGAGCACCAAAACCAAGAGGATGTTGGAGAAGAGAATAATTCAAATAGAAAAACATTTGATTTTTTTAAATATCTCTACGAAATTCAAAAATCCTCAGAGAAAAAATATTTCGTAGACAAAAAAAGTAAAAAAGAATATTGCAACGACCAAACCCACTATACTCTATTCTTCCCATGTTATGAAGGCTAATTTCAACAATTTTTAAAGTGATAGGGCTCTGAATTCTAAAAAACCATTAGATGCGGAAAAGCATTTTCTATCGTCTCAATCTGCTCTTAACATCTTTGTCTGTTTAAATTGAGAAGTGTACTACTTATGATTAAGACATTGTTTTCACCCAATTATATCGAAATTTGTAAGATTCACCAATAAACAGTCGATTTAATAAAATCTTACCCCATAGCGTTTGTTGCGGACGTTTTTCAAACATTTCACCACATTTATTCTTAGTAGATCTAACTATTTCCATATCAAAACACCAGGAATATAAAGGAAGTGGTTCCGGTTAGTCATAGAAATCATCTCTTTCTGACCTCTCAATATAAAGAAAGCCGTATAAATTAACACTAACATTTAAAATTTAAAAAAAGAAATAACATTCTACTCATTCGATCTCAATCATCAATTTCAGAAAAAAGGCTACTTTTGTGGCATGTAGAGAAAGGTTGCTCGAGACGTATTACTTAAATGAAGGAAGTCATTCCTTGGCTCCTCAGAGTAGTATTGCAACCCCGTTATGATAACTGCTTGAGCACGGCGAGCCTTTGGGTTTGGGGTTTTGTTGTTTATAGTACTTGACACATATCTCGTTTTGAGTTTCTTTTTCTTTTATTATTGAAAGTGAATGTATTTATTAGTGTAAATGCGTAGTGTGAGAAGGGGAACATGAGTCCCCATCGATGCTCAATTACGTTAGTTATATACTATAGTGTATGTAAATGGTTATCAAAGATTACCGAGTATTCCAAACTGCTTGAGTGAGTGCTATATAAGTAGGGAATGTATTTAATAATGAGTGAGACTGTGAAAGTTCCTAGTCTTAATAACTTGAAAAGCATAACTTGAAGCATGGGGGCTGAAATGGCCTAATTGTTGACAGTCCCTGGAGCCTAACTTCGGTTACGGAACAGATAACCTAGGTCGTAAGCCAAGGACAATGTTTTATTGTAAGATAAGACTATTGATTATTAAATATAGGAATTTTACATGAAAGTATTAAGAAAAATACATTTAACAGCAAATGAAACAACTGATTTTTGAAAATAAGTCCATTTCTGGAGTTTCCGGCCAGGCCAATAAAATAAACAGTTTTAACTTTAAGAAATGTAGATTAGAAGGTGCAACGAATGAAATAAAATAATGGCCTTAAAAAACGGATAATACGATAGTGTTTGTTTACTTTTTGTTGTATTTTATATGGAAGTACAACACTATATCTTCCTGGAATGGGCTTTATATTAAATATAACATTATTGTAAAGGAAAGTTTTTATTTAAAATGTAAAGGTTTAGAATTGTTGGGAATTTTTTTATATACATCAAATTATTTCAATAAACTGCTTTTATTCAAACTTAATGCCCTGGGCAAGAGTGAGAACACTGCTGTGATTTATTGTGATGGTGGATCTTCTCATGTACTGTTTCCAAGAGTCCGAACCACTTTCTCTTCCACCCCCGGTGTGTTTTTCGCCTCCGAAAGCACCTCCGATCTCGGCGCCGGAAGTCGGGATGTTGACGTTGACTATTCCACAGTCTGAACCTTTCGGCCCAATCCACTAGAAAAATAAGAGACAAATTGAAACCGAGATGTCAACAACGGATGCGAAACGTGTGTACGTACTTTAAACAATGTCGTCACGTCCTTTGTGAAAATACTTGATGACAGGCCTTGTTTCACTTCGTTGTTCCATTTAATCGCTTCGTCGACACTTTGGGCCTTCAGTACGTAGACGATTGGTGCGAAAGTCTCTTTGTGGACTACTGCACTATCGTGAGGAAGACCGGATATAATTGTTGGTTTTACAAAATATCCATCGCCTGGGCACCTCTACAAAAATATAAACGCATTTATATTTGTAAATAAACCAAAAAAATAAATTGACCAGGTATATTATCGATTTAAAAAAAAGTATAAAAAAAATGGAGGTCAGCATCATAGACTATAGCTCTAGACCCCGCGGTCATGGGTTCGATTCCCACCGTCACCCCTGGCTCTGTTTTTCACGCTACCCAACAACAATATACTAATATACTACGTACTTATGCGAGGTCGTAAAGCCATTAAAATAATAAATAAATAAAATATAAAAGACGTCGCTTTGTCTCTCTCTCTCTCTCTCTCTCTCTCTCTCTCTCTCTCTCTCTCTCTCTCTCTCTCTCTCTCTCTATCTATCTATCTCTCTCTCTCCCGCCCTCTCTCTCTCTCCCTTTCTCTCTCTTTCTCTCTCTCTATCTCTATCTCTCTCCCTTTCTCTCTCTCTCTCTCTCCCTCCCTCTCTCTCTTTCTCTCCCTTTCTCTCTCTCTTTCTCTCTCTCACTCTCTCTCTCTCACTCACTCACTCACTCACTCACTCACTCTCTCACTCACTCACTCTCTCTCTCTCTCTCTCTCTCTCACTTTCTTTCTTCGTTAAGTGGCAGAAAGGTCCACGAGACCTAACTTTGTTTGATTAAATAAAACGTTTAATCAATAAATCAGTCAATCTCTCTTACCTTATCTTTACTTTTCAATTTCAGATTTTTTTTCATATTCTCCTCTCTCTCTCTCTCACTCTCTCTCTCTCTCTCTTTGCCTCTCTTACTCTCTCCTTCTTTATCCATCTCTCTCGCTAACCGAATCTCATTTTTTAACATCTCTATATATATATTTTATCATTTTATCAAGAAGATTATCTTTAATCAATCGATTTGAATATTTTTACTCAAATTTCTTTGATAGTTCTTGAAGGTTTATAACGAAACAGTTTTATACGAAATTTATGGTAAAAATAGGCTTTTGTTGTCTTTTTGAAAATATACATTTACTAGGTCATTAACAAATTTGTTTTAATCAATAACAAGGAACAATTTTCTTTCGTGGGTTTATTCTGGAGAGCATTAAAACATCGTTAGCATTAAAATACAGAATGTTCCGATCGATCAAAAAAAAATTTATCCCATGATTAAAGGGTCGATCGATTCCTAAAGACATTTAAAAATATTTAATATGGAAGTTGGATTGCGCAAATAAATAAATCGATAATCATTTTGCTTATTATGCTGAAAAGTTCCAAGGCTAAAGTTAGTCGATATACTATCGTAATTAAGAAAAGGAAATTATGTTCTGATTTGTTGTCTAGTAACGACTTTAAAAATGTGCTAATCTCAAAATTCTCTTTTTTGGGGGAAATCGTCAATTAAAAAACCAATGGGTTCACCGACGGAAACAAATCCGAGGGAACATATGGACAAAACCGTCGACCGTGTTCGGTTCACGGTCGCGAGGATAATAACGAAAGGGGGCTCGATTTGCAAGTAGCATTCCAAAGGTAAAAAAAAGATACGTCAGCGAGAAATATACCGCTATTTATAAGTGGTCAAACCAAGGGGGGAGAGCAAAAAGAAGATGGGTGGACAAAACGACGGGTGAAAACTGGTTTAATATCCGATCAAGGCAATCTACACCACGCGATTCGCCGATGGCCTTCTGGGCTGTTTATACGTTCTCTATTTGCCTTTTTGAGACTAATAATAAATCAATGGGAGATCAACTTTCCGGCCGTTTTGATACGCCTACACCGTAATTCTGACGCCTGACGGGCCGACGTCGTCAACGTGTAAATAAAGATTCAATTCTGTTACAAGGGGAAGGCTAAGGACGTGAAATCACAGATTGTAATGAAAATTTTTCGGTGAAACTTGATCGAAAAATATTATACCGGTATCCAAGCGTTCTTTTTATTGTGGGAACCTGTACGATTAAAAAAAGAAGTAATTTATATGATTTTGACAAAATTTGTTTTTCTGCATTTGTTGTGCATATATTTCAAGGAAATTATATATCAGTCCATTTCTTATTTCACCTAGGTTAAGACAATTATATGCAGGGTCGTATTAAATGAGATTAGATATATAAAAATTTACAAAAACCAACAGAAGCTTTTAATAAAATAGATTAATTTTTTTTTGTAAAAAATCAAATTCGTTTTAACTACCCTTTAAAACTTTTAAATACGAATTTTTACAGGAATAAAAAAATATACATTTTTGGACAAGATTCACCGGGAGCCAGATTTTTAGTTCTTGCCCAGTGTACCACGTACGAATTTATAACTAATTCAACACTATTACAACGAGTGCAAAGCTGAATTTTTTTTAACCGATGTTAACAACTTTTAGATTTTATATCATTATGAATAATTCCAATTTTATCTAAGGTTTTTGGTTGGGATGAAAAATTAATGTAACGAACCAATCTCAAATGCTTACTAATTTTTCATCTCAACCAAAAACCTTAGATTAAAATAATAATTATTGGAATATTTAATAGGGTCAATTATGACCACTAAACAAATATGGATTAATTATGAATAATGAATAAAGATTTTTGGGGTAAACATTTTTTTTCTCTCTCTCAAATATTTTGCCTTCCTTTTTGCTCACATTTAAAAAAAATCGGAAATCACTAAAATGCTCGCCTTTGAAATGTCTGAACTAAACTAGGTGAAACTTTACAATGGTTTAGAATCTTATAAATTACATGTAATAACCGAAATCTAGTCTTCGTAAATAATAATGAATAATATAAGGAAATCAACAAACATTTTATTTTGTTTCGTCGGTTCAGATTTAATTACAGAAGTTAAGCTTATGCTAGTAAGTGAAGTCAATACGATTGTAAACCATTATAAATCTTCACTTAAATAAGTAGAGTCGTTTCAAAGGCATCACTATTTTCGTTTTTTATTTAAAAAAAATTGGCGAAACAGAGAATTTTTTTTAAATTTTACCAAACATGTATAGACAGGCGGTCTTGGGGATGCAGAAAGCAGATAAAAACTTTGTTTCTTGCTTAAAAAAAATAAATCAATAAAATTAAATTAAGAAAAAAAAAATTCAAACCACTTTACTTAAACACGAAAAGAACCATTCCCGGGCGAGTAATTTTGTATTTATTGAAATGTAATGCACAATTACTTTGTGACCAAGCAACATAGCAAAGTAGTCGAAATAATTTTTATCACCCGGAAAACCCGCTGTATAAAAATTTTTGGGGGAAAACTTTTTTCTCTCTCAATTTTTTAGTATCCTTTTCGCGTGAATTTTTTAAAAATCGAAAATCGCAAAAATATCTTTGAAATATCCGAAACTTTATAATGGTTTAGAATCTTACAAATTACACGCAATGACAAATCCAGCCTTCGTAAATAAACCGGAACCGGAGATATAAAATAAAAGTTTGAGAGAAGTTTGTTGATGTTTTTCTTATTTTTCTTATTTATAATGATAAAAAAACCAAAGGTTGTTAAAACTGGCTGAAACATGAAATACTCATCTGTCCTACGGTTGTAATAACGTTGAATTTGGATAACATCCAGAGGGGTTATGAAGTTTTAAGTGGATTACCGGATATCAACTAGAAAAAAGTTCCTGGTAAGCTCAAAAATATATGTTTTTTATTTCCCATAATAACTCGTATTCAAGGGACTTGTTTTGATTTTTCTAACTTTTTATTAAAAAAATTATGAAAAATTATTCTAAAAAATATTCTCAGCTCCAAGAGCTCATTGGCAATGGAAATTGGTGATCCTACATTCGTAGCCTTCCGTTATCAATGTAGAACTCAATTTATTTAATTACAATGAATTTAGTAAGTTAATAGCAAAAGAATTCGCCCTAGTTTGAAAATAATGAACTAGGAAATAAGCGAAACTGCATTGACCCAATTATATCCCACCCATCGGCTGGAATGCTATAGGGTATGAAATATTGTCAAAAAAAATTGCTCAAATATTAAAACAAAACATGACAGGCGATAAAACTATGTTTTGAAACAGAAGAAAATTCAAAACATTTCCCAAGGACGTTCGTTATATAATTCCTAGATGATTAGGCGAGACATGCAGGAAATAAATCCTTCAAGCTTAAACGAATATGAATTTGACGATTTAAAAGACATGTCTAACGAGGTGTTGTGAGTTGTTTAAATGTGCTAACTTTTGATCACTTTTAACTGAAACCAAATAAATATACTTTAAATATGTCGACACGGCATACATTCGGTAATAAAATTTCTACAAATGTTTTCCCCTCCATTTTGAATAAACGTTTAGTTAAATTTAATAATAATTGACAATCTTTTATTTTAAAAAATCCATCAAAAAAATATTTAATCAGTATAGAATATACTAAAAAGTGTTGATTTGTAATATTTGTTGTTATTCATAATCGCAACTCAATTAAATTTCCATGAAGTTTCTTTGATTTAACAGGAACGAATAGGTAGGTGGCCGCAATGGTGGCATTGACGCAGCGCATCACAGTAAAGGTCCAGGGTTCGAATCCAGCGGCCCTGCATTCGAACCCGACATACTTACAAATGGGCTTTTTTTCAAAAACACCGGCACCCCGAGGGTGAATATAATTTCGTTGCAAACGAATGCAAATTACACTGACGCTTCAATATTCTCGGCTTTGATCGGTAATGTTTAGGAAAATGATGACACATACAGGAAACAAAATCACAAACAAGGGGTGGCTACGGTCGTGGGATCACTTTTTAATGAAATTTTGAGGATGCTAGGTCGAAAAATGTTAGACACGCATCCGAGCGTTCGTACCAATGGGCCCGAGAAAAAATTCTAAGTACACAATTATAAACTTTTTAAATACGATTTTTAGTCTTTGTTGTATGTTCTTTAAGATTTGTATATCAGTCAATTTGGTCATAAAATATTTATTTCAGTATTTACGTACCTAGCCGTACTACGGCTAACTGCCCAATACTAAGTGTTCAATTTTTTCCGAAAATTACAAAAATAATCATAGCTTTGAAATGATACAAAACTTACTGAAGGTTTGACACTATAAAATATACGTCGTCACGAATTTTATTTCATAAAAAATTTAGAGCCGGATATGTAAAATAAAACGTTTGAGGAGTTATTGTTGATTTCGTCCTTATTTTTCTCACCTATAATGACTTACTACTCACTAAATGATTAGCCTAATTAACATAGACTGAAATATTCAGCTTTCCACCGTTTTGATAACGTTGAATTTAGATAAAATTCAGAGGAGTTATAAATTTTATGTGAAATACCGGACACGAGTAAAAACAAATAGCGAATATGGTCCGAAAATGTATTTTTTTATTCCTTTGAAAATTCGTATTTAAAGATTTTAAAGGTTGTTAAAACGAATTCTAATTGATTTTTTTTCTCCCCCCCCCCAAAAAAAAAATGGTTTTTGGCCTGCATCACAGGAAGCACGTTTTCGCTTTTGTAACTGTTTACATATCTAATCACAGTTAATACGCCCCTGAATATTAGTTTATTAGTATTGGTAAATTAACAAACGACTGATATAATGTACAAATTAATGAACACCCTGAAATAAATGCACAACAAATACAAACACCAATATTGGAAAACAAGTTTAAATTACATAGAATAATTTTTTTTAGCTTCTAGAATTTGCAAGAAGGCTTTGACATCAGCCTAATATTTTTGGACCCAGTATCAACAAAGAAATTTAAAATAAAAAATTAAATTAAATTCGACGTCTTTAGTCTCTCCTTTTGAGAAAGACTAAACTGTACCAAACACTAATTAATTAGAAGAATAAGTTGGCTCAAATAATATTTAAGATGATGATTGCTGGACTTGGAATGGTCCTTTACATCCTCTACACCACAAATATCCCAACTTCACCCTCCATTATCCTTGCCTCCTTTTCTGATGACACATCTGTGCTATTCACTCATCCCAATCCAACAATTACTTTGGAGCAGCTCCACGCACATGTCCTGAAAATAGCCAAATGGAGCAAACCTGATGTAAAATGCTCAGTGAAAGCAAAGCACCGATATATCATTCACTCTTCAAAGCAAAACTCCTCATACAAAATTCCTCAATAATACTCCTATCCCAAAAGCAGACTGCATCTGCTAACTTAGGTTCCTTCTAGACTCAAGACTAACCTGGAACCAACTGACACGACTAATACGACAGGCATAAAACTACCGTTTCAGACTACTCTACAGACTACTGTCACACAAATGTAATGTTTCAACAAAAAACAAACTCACAATATTCAAGATAATACTAAAACCAATCAGGATGTATGACTAGAACTGTGGAGTACTGCCAAATCTTCCAACATCCAAAGAATACAGACAATCCAAAGTCCTCAGAATCAGAGTCTATGCTCTGGTAAGTCTTCAACAACACTTTTCACAATGATTTTAAAATCCCTTTTGTGGAAAGAAAAAGTTCTCAAAACATTTTCCACTTTTCCAGTCGAGTTGCCAACCCTTATCCAATAGAAACCACTCTATGAATCCACCCATGCAAATGACAACTGTAGACAGCCCATGGAATCTAATTCCTCAGTCTGGCAAAACAGGCAGTATGTCATAAATTCGTTTCTCTATTTATGTGTACATACATGTATGTGCAGAATTGAGCTTCCATTCTATCAATAAATCAATCATTGAAATATATGAAGCTGGAAAATCCGCAAGAAAGGAAAACTACCTAGGCTATAAATATGTATTTTTCGTGGGTCTTTAGATTTTGTGCTATGTGAATAATACAATAATCGTCTTCACATCGGTTGTTTTACACAGATCAATTCTTTTTCATAGAAGGGAAAAAGGTAGGTTCTGTAAAAAAAAGGACAATATGGAGATGGAGTATGTTAGTTTCCTGACTTGTGAGGGCATTTCAAATTGCAATTTCCATGATTTTCAGGTTTTGAACAGGTTTCTCTCCAACTCAATCCTGCTGTTAAGTGCAGTGAATGTTTTGCTGTTTTTTACACTACTAGATCATAAAAGTCAATGATAAGAAATAAAAAAACCACCTTTAAATTTGTGAAAGTCCAAGCCCACAAACTTCTTTAGATTAAATAAATTTGACGTGAAATGTGCTTTTTTGTAAGCAACCCTACCTCTCCGCCAAATTCTATCTTGCCACCTAATTTTTTGGCTTCTTCAACTGTCTCGAGGTATTCATTGACAGATCCTTCTGTATGGAGTGGTCCGTAAAGGGTATTTTCGTCAAGAGGGTCACCCATTCTGGTCATCACTTGCTCGAAAGATTTCTTCATCCTTGTAAGCACCTTATCGTAGACCTGTAAAATACATTATGATAGATTATGTGTTACATTATTTTAAAATAATTAACAATTAATTTGAGGAATAGATCTGTCAAAAGACCTAAGAACAAACTCAGCTTTTGACAGCTTGGCAAATCAATTTTTGAATAAACAGATATTCTCCCTATTTTTTAAACATGTAAGTAAAGGATTCCTTTAAAACAGGTTCTTGTCATTATTTTCTATGTAGTAATAATGAAATGGATACATATTTGAATTATTATGGAAAATTTCTTAGTTTTTCAATAGGCCCAATGCACTCAATTGTAACGATGTTATGATTTACGATTTGGCAAATTTCCCAACTGTTTTATTTCCGTTTCTTTCTTTCTTTTTTTTTTTTTTTTTTTTTTTGCTGTCGGTATAAAATTTGAATGCATGTTAAACCAGCATGGTAGGTTCCCCTTCCATCTTTCTGCGAGTTTCTCCAAGTTGTTCTTTTTTCTACTCGTGGCCTGACAGGGCAAATTAAAAGAAAAAAAAAATTATCGTCAAATTTTCCAAATTACTTATTAGTCTACATTATTTGTTAATATAAACCTTTGGCTGAAGTTTAATTTTGAACGTTATAAATTTTCTACGTACTATATTAAATAATCTTAATAACAAAATCAATAAAAATTATCCAATGGAAAAAGGCTTGTAACATATAATGGTTTGTAACAACTTGCAACAAGATATTAAATCTTATTACTGTAATTAGCCTTAGACAATTTCTATCTGCTTTGACTAATCAATAACATGTACAATTAGACAACATTAATTAAAAAATATCTTTCTTACAATATTCTTTATCAGCCAAATTTGTTCTGGCATTTTTAAACATACTGCAAACAATAAAGTTGATAGTGTAGAGTGCGAGAGTTGATAATAATGTAAAAAATATGGGTTTTGCTATTACATAATATGATCATTGACATAATAAATAAATATTGTCTATCTGTCTCTTTCTCTCCCTCTTCCCTCTCTCATTCTCTCTCACTCTCTATCTCCCCTCTCTCCCTCTTCCCTCTCTCATTCTCTCTCTCTCTCTCTCTCTCTCTCTCTTTCTCTCTCTCTCTATCACAATATTTAGCTTTCTTCCTATCTTTCACTCTCTCTCTTCTATCTCACCCCATCACATTTTCTCTTTGTCTCAGTTTATTATTCGTATTCTCTNTCTCTCTCTCTCTCTCTCTCTCTCTCTCTCTCTCTCCCGTCTCCATCTCTCTCTGTACAGACTTAAACTTTATTTATAAACGGTTTATACTCTCATCTAAAGGAATTTCTACTATTTGCTAATCTGACATCTTTTTTCTCCCTGAAAACAAATTCCTTGCTTTATCATCGTTGTGCAACATCTATTGTCATCACATTTTTTTTTGTTTTATTTATATAAAATGACAATCAATTTTCAAGCAGAAAATATGTATGTATTGTGTATTAATATTGTTTGCGTTTTATTTTGACAAGCACACAAAAGACCAAAATTTGTCTGTCTGTAGTAAATCTCTTCTCAAGCATTTTATTTTTTTAAATTGTGTTCAATATCTTTACCTTCCAATTGCAGAACAGTCACAAAAAAGAGATAAGTTAACTAACTGCCAAGAGTTTATCAATAAAAGGATAACATTTCGCAGACATTATCTTTTGCCATTTAAGATCATGGCATGTAGTGCTACTTGAATTTATGATTATGATATGACAGAAATCAATTTTACAAATTAACTCTACTAAATATAAATTGACATAATATTTAGTTAATTTTTATTATAGTTTATCAACATGCTTCTTGATAGAAAATAAAAATAAAACAAACAAATGCAAATCAAAGTTTATTGCTCAAATTCCAGATCATTGTAAACAATAAATCTGTGAGTAGAACCATCATTTACAAAAAGTGAATACTCACCCCATCTTTATTATTTCTATTATTTCCATTCATAGTTTTTGTTATGGAAATATACTTGTCAATTTTCTGTTTAAAATTTTGGCAGGCCAATTGTCAATCAAATTATAATAGATGATGGAAAGAGATAAAAACACAGAAACTAATGGGAAACATTGCTGGACCCTGGATATTTCTTGTACAAAAATAAGCATTTTAAAGCATTAAATTTAAATTTATGTTAGCATAGATGTTTTTATTTCCTAATATTTTTGAGAAGGAAACCCATTAGGCTTTGAAAATTAATTAAATTGTAATTTAGGAAAACAACCAAGATAAATGTAGAAGGAAAGGATATGGATTTTACTATGGTACAGAAGGATGGTTCAAAATGAAATAGATTGTGGTGGCTGGAGTTAACGGGCCAAATTTTCACCTAGCAAAATCTCTATAACCAGTTATCAATTTTCTAAGATGAGATCAAACAATAGAACTCTATTTTCTGTGCACAATAAATACTCTAAAAGGTGCACAAATTCTCAGATATTTTCAGACAGCTAAACAGAACTGAAGGCCTGAATGTCACTTTAAGCTCAGCTGGTCTGGTCATGTCTAACATATCTCTAACTTCTGGGAAAAAGAAATTGGTTAACTCTGATGTGGGTATTAGTTCATGAATAATCTGACAACCTAGCAAAAGCAGGAGAAGTCCTCCCCAAAATGCCAAGACCACAGGGAGAAATAGCAGATATTTTACACCAGGTGCAAAACGATAAAAGAAATGTCTCTTTGTCTCTTCGTTTCTTTCCCAGGAGGTAGGAATTAAGGAAAATAATGGAGTGTTATACTGGTCATTACACATTTAATTGCCAACATAAAATTGAAAAAACTAAGAGAGAAACTTGCTGATTCTGCCATGAAAAATGAGAAACATCAGAACAAATCTTGGGTGACTGAAAGTTGTAGCTCAAGCATGGTACAGCCACTTCAGAACAGTGACACTACAATCTTAAATGTAGTGAGCTTTCTATGATATGGGAATAAAAAAGAGTCAATTTCACAATAGACCTTTGGGTCATGGTGGAAGAAAGGAGGCTGGTCGTCAGTAACCAGAGAAATTTTTTTCTTTTGAATAAGAAATTTAATCAAAGTTTGTCCGGGCATGATACTGTTGATATTATTGATACACTGTACATAATGTAGAACTACAATTAATTAAGGTTTTTAGTTGAGATAAAGAAGTCAATGGCACGAGTGGGATTCGAACCCACGATCTTCATCTTGATATGCCGCTGCTCTACCACTTGAGCTATCATGACTTCGATCCACTTGGACACCAACTTCCCGAGGTCACGATAGCTCAAGTGGTAGAGCAGCGGCGTATCAAGCCGAAGATCGTGGGTTCGAATCCCACTCGTGCCACTGACTTTTTTATCTCAACTAAAAACCTTAATTAATTGTATTAATTGGTCAAGTGGACCACGAAATTAGTGAAAATAGTGTAGAACTTTTATTCATATTTTTATATTAGTAGTATTTATTGATTTTATGTACTACACTCAATATCTTGTTTATTGAATAATTAACAGTCCTTCTCAAATGTGCCATAGTGCTTTTGTGCCACATAAAAAATATATTTTTAAAGTAAATAAAAGTTATAAAGAATTATGGAAAATGTCAAATTTTAATAATTGTGTATGGTGTTTATTAACAAACATACTTCTACATGCAGTGCGTCATGTATTTCACAAAATTTTTAAAATATGGATTTTCATAGTTAGTTTTGAGAGGTTTTATTACATAAAAAAAGCTATTGTATAATTCATATCAGCTGTGCTAATATTACTTGAATAAATAACAAAAAATCTGTTATCAGTTTGGTACCACACTTGAACCAAGAGGATGATTTAATATAATACATTGGATATTATAAAAATCAGCTTTAAAATGATGGATTTTCTTCTATAAAGAATGTAAGAAAATTTAATCTTAATAAATTAGTTCAATGAATAATTAATAAGTTATGATGGAGACTACATCTAAGCATTTGTCCCCCCCTTTAAATTTCTATTAGCAAGAATTAATTGATATGCTGTTTTATTTATACAATATCATTTTTATGGTGCTGATGATACATTGAATACACAAATTTGCTAAATTGTCCAATTGTCCCTTCTGCATAAAATAATTTCATTGATTTAGCAATACACAAATTTTATGTGTCAAATGCTTGGTCAGTTTATTATCTATTTCCTTAAAACGTATTATTTAACAAGTATAATACTTAAATGTTTTATACCTCGTGATGTAGAATCAGTCTTCTTGTTGTTGTACATCTTTGCCCAGCAGTTCCAACACATGCAAAGACAACTGACTGTGCCACCATTTCAAGATCAGCGTCATGGCTTACTACGATGGCATTGTTACCTCCTAGTTCGAGAATTGTCTTTCCGAAACGTTCTTGGACAAGCAGTCCTACCTGAAGTGACAGAATTAATAATGTGCTTAAAAATTAATTTAGAAAAATTGAATCACCTTTTGGCCAACTTCAGTACTCCCAGTGAAAGAGAGGAGTGGCAATCTTTCATCTTTAGCCATCAGGTTACCAACATGACCGCCGGCACAGACCAAAGAGCATATTGCACCAGGGAGTTTGTTCTTTTCAAGAACAGAAGCCACCACCTTGGTAGTAGCTACCGATACTAAGGGTGTTGTCGATGAACCCTTCCAGATAACAGCATCACCACAAACCTGCCAACAATTATTGCACTTGAACATTGGGCTAGACATTAGTAAAAAAAATTATGGATGAAAAATTTGCCAAAATGTCAGGTTTTTGATTAATCGTTAATATCAAAATACAAAAGATTCTATTTTTGTTCTTCTTGGATTGGCAAGTTGGTCTTGTCAAAAATAATTCCTTTCAAAATGAACTTAAGAGCCAACATCTATTTTTGCTCTTCACACCACAATTAATCTATTATTTTTAAAAAATAACAGCATTTTTTTAGTTAAAAAAAAAATTCAATTTCATGATGAAAAGCTACAATTTAAATACAATTGATCGTAATAAAGAATAAGTTATTTGTATCACAGTATTTTTAAAATTTTTGTATATTTGTATAACAGTACTGTTGTCTTTTTAATTTTTTTATTATGATCATGCATTGATTATAATAATTGATAACTATCATTTATTACTTATCATTAATAAGACAATTATTACAAGTTAAAATTTCAATAGTTTAATGGAAATTAGTTATTATGGGAGTTCTCCATGTTGTCTGCTTGGAGATGAATATGTAATTTGGTCGTTACCGATCATTTAGGTCTGCCTAATCTTATCCACAATAAAATATTGAAGGATCTACAAGCATTTGATATTACATATTGTTTTCAAAATGATGACTGCAATGTCATACACACAACTTTGTGGGTTTTTTTAAATTTGAGCATTTATTAAGGTTCTTAATTGATGAAAATAGTATAAAGGAAATTTAATGTTGAATCCAAAACTGTGGTAGCCCTGATGATAGATATTTGTTTTTCTCAAGTAAGGAACGTTTTCATGGAAAAACTAACAACAAATCATAGCTCATCAGGGACTGAAGATAGGGGTAGGGACTGTACATTGCAAGTTGTTGGAAATAGGGTGTGCTATCACCCAAAAATTTGTTTCGCACTACCTCTAGGATTCCCTGTATATTATAAACAGCTAGAGTTAACATGTTTTTCTTTATTATTCTTCTTAATAATTATGGTTACAGATGGTTAGGTGATTAAAACCCCATTAATAAATTATAAATTTAATACAATATAAGATTAATGGGTGTAGACTCCCGAAATGTTCAAATAAATTTGTACTGAATGTATTTACTTTTTTATTTAAAAAAAGGAAATGTTTTCTAATATAAATAAATAGATAATAAAATAAATAATTAAAAATAATATNTCTTTTTTTTTTCTTATGAGGATATATGAATCCTTGGGGTGATGGTGTTACAGTCACCAACGCCCTATTTTGGTGGTTGGATTGTACATTTTTATTGTCAATTGCAGTGGGTTTTCTGTATATTTGTAAGTTTATTTTATTATTGACATTATTATTATTATTCTGATGAGTGTCAAGTCCGAGAAGTTGATGTTGTTGTTTTCAGTTTCTATGGTGAATGTAATGTTTTTGTGTATTGTGCAAGGGCCCTAAGTTCATTTTCTGAGGAGGAATTGTCTGTTATGGCAAATATGTCATTGACTTTGTCATATGTCCCTAAATAGATGGAGACATGGAGTATTTTATTCTCAGCTATATTTAGGAATAGTTGTCTTTAAGATTTTGGAGATTAGATTATTTTTAATAGAAAAATTATTTTTAATTCTAAAAAATAAGCAAAGAGGAACCTTGGAAAGTGATAAACTACTTTAAGAATAGTGCTTCAAACTTTTTGAAGTTTGAAAATAAAAAAAAGGTTAATTCCATAATACATAGATCTTTTAGGTTATAATAGAACAAATGGGAGAATTTGGTCATCAGTAACCCTAAAGAAGGAAAAGTCATTATTTTTGGTAGCATCTATCTTTCTGCGAAATTGAAAAGAAATATTAGAATATCTCAAGTGTAATGAAGGGTTCGACATGGTCGCTTGCTTAACCTAACACTATTTGCTTTATTATTAGATTATGAGTGTGGAGGAATCCACTATAATTAAAATATTGGTGCATGCTGATATCTTTATCTTAAGTCAGACAAGTCTTAAAAGAAGTGTAAAATTCTTCAGACTTTGGAATAGGCCTTATGTGACTGAAAGCGTTAGTCAGCAAATGATACAGCCACTTCCAAAAGGCAACAGAAATGCTAAGAAAACAAGCAAAGAAGATCCCTAGAAACTTAAAAGTAGTGCACTTTCTGGGATATGGGTTAATTCCACAATAGACTTTTAGATCGCAGTAGAAGGAAAGGAGACTCACCAGTGACCACCTGGAAAATTTTCAATAATAATTCTAGTTATTTTACAAATTAAAATACCATAGCAAGCGCGCTATTCCATCCATAAACCGCAACAGGAAAATTGAAAGCTGAAATAACTCCGATCAGACCCAACGGATTCCATTGTTCCAATAATACATGTCCTGGTCTCTCAGATGGTAAAATTGAGCCATTAAACATCCTTGAAAGTCCGACAGCATAGTCACAAATATCGACATACTCCTGCACCTCACCAACTCCTTCAGCTTGAATTTTACCTAAACAAAAAGACAAACAAATTAAAAAATAAATAAATAAAAATAATTTTTGTGTTTATTAAAGAATCATTGAAATCCTACCCATTTCAAGGGCGACAAGTTTTCCGAGTGGGACCAACTTTTGCCTGAGAGCGTCACCAATCTGTCTGACAATTTCTCCCCTCTTGGGTGCCGGGAGCTCAACCCAAGTCTCCCATGCATCCTGCATCTTTTCCATTGTCTTCTCATAGTCGTTGACATTGCCTTGCTGTACCTGAGCTATTGGTTTTCCATTGGCAGGGCAATATGAAGTCAACAACTGTTAACATGATTTAAATTTACTCTAGTAGTTTATCATACATATTTTTAATAAAGCAATCAAGATCAACTTTCAAAGAAATGTATTTTGTATACATTATATGATTGAAAGTTCTATGTATAAACATTTTAATAACCCTCCAAAAATTTTGATGTTCAACTTTTTTATTTATTCCATTAATTAAGGTTTTTAGTTGAGATAAAAAAGTCTGTGTCACGAGTGGGATTCAAACCCACGACCTTTGGCTTGATACGCCACTACTCTACCACTTGAGCTATCAAGCGACCACGAAAACTAGTGAATTTTTTATTTATATTTTTAATTTTTATAGTGATTAATTAGGAAAGTTGGTAATTGCTTAAATTTATAAACACTGGAATCTTTAATATAATATAATTTATAATTGTCTTTCAACTTAATTTTGAAGAAAACACCAGTATAATTGTTGACTATCAACAAATAGTCGACATTGTATAATGAAACTGTTCTGTTTCAGTTCATTTGAAAATAATAATTTTTGATCAGTGTTGTTATAAAAGAATTTTAAATAAGAAGCAATTGGTAATTTATTATTTGTGTACTTATATTGTTATTGTATCCAGGTGTGTTAGTTTTTACTACCAACTTAGCCAAAACAGTCGAACAGAATTTTTTGGGGAGGGGAGTGGTCAGAAATTCCAGAGATCCAATGGGAATTGAACCGTGGGGCCTACTTGCCAAGAGGCTGTCGCCCTAATTACTTGGCAACTGCAGTTTTGGTCTTTTTATTTGTTGATGTCTACTATGGTGAGCAGGTCATCAAATGATCTGCATGTGTGTTAGAAAAGTTTTCTTTCAAAGTAAAAACATTTCTGTGAGTATGGCTGAACTAGAATTGGCCAATCATTGTCGCGGTTTTTGTATAAAACATCTTCTTTGGTGATTGATCAGACTTCTCAGTTTAAATATATTTTTTTCTTTCCAAAAGGTAGATTGGGGATGAGTCCAATCTACCTTTTGGAAAGAAAAAAATATATAAAATATCCTTAAGTGAAACAGAAGGGTATAGGTTTTTTTATGTGCACATGCAGTAGTATCACGTTTTTCCCCGGTTGTCTCTTAAATGCGACAAACATATTGGTTCAATACCATCACAATTTACTATTTTTAATTGAGTATTTATCAAAATTGTAACTACTCTCAAACTTCTAAACATTTTATTTTAATTTTTTTAAATAGTTGCGATAGTATTTTTTTTTTTTTTTCAGTGTAAGTTTATAATTATTGAGTACGTATGACATGTACATTTATTTTTATTGTAGCACTTTTGAAGCTAAGGCCCACTTCCTTCCTCTTCATCATCATGTGGGAAATTGGTTAAAAACTGAGTCCGTTTGATCCCTCACATTATGCACAACTATGAGAGAGATTGAATACACTTAAATTAAAATAAATTCGCATGTCATATGCGTTCAATAATTAAACCACTATACTGAACAAATAACCAATGATAACAGTAGATAAATTTCTATTATTATTTTTATTTAAATTAAATATTCTTCCTATCTAAAGTCTTGCTTGAGAGGAAAAGTTAATGTGACATGCGGGATTCAAACCCACAACCTTCGGTCTTGGTTGAGATAAAAGCCAAAGCCGAAGTCTGTGGGTTTGAATCCCGCTCATGACTCTAACTTTTTCATCTCAACCAAGACCTTCGATAAAAAGAATAAATAATTGAAATAATTAATGTGGTCAATAAAACATATGAATTATTTTTATCATTGGATTGTCACTGATCGTCATATTCTTCCAATTCTTGCTGCTAATTGTCAGCCAATTGCATACTTTCAGTGGCTGTTTCTTTTCACAAAATCATACAAGAAAAATGACTAACCCACAATGACCATTTGGAAAATGGTAACCGAAATGTTTCAGACAGACAAAGTACAGTTTCTCATTGAATTTGGCATGAAGCTAAAATGAATGAGTTAAATATATCCCATGAGAGTGTGATAGACCCAGTAGTGGCCAAGTGTCAATCGGTTTGACGTGTGTTCACCGACTCGAGACCAACAACCTGCATCTATTCAAAGGTTGATGGCCTCACAGAATGCAAAACATCACAAAATTAATTATTATTAGACTACACAACTTTTTAAATTTTAAAAACATAAAAAAATACAATACTTAATTGTCCAACACAAACAGAATTCTTTAGAAACCAAACTATTTTTATGTTATATATTTTATCTATTGATACCAGTCCATGTAATAAAACAATTTCTACTTTTTTATTTATCAAATATTTAAAACTTTGAGGAAATAATTTTATAACTATTAACAACCAATTTTTCTGACGTCAAACCTGGCTTTTTCGGCTAAAGGCAAAAACCCTCAGATCACAACTGCCTCAAGTCAACTCTTTGAACTGCAATGTTTACTGCAATATAAAAATTATTAATATTTAAAAGGACTACATCTATAAGTGCTTTGAAGGCGTCAGGAAAATCCTTGGTCAATACTGATTATAAAACTGTGGTCAGTTATGATAAACTGCCTAATTAAACCACTACCCCAGACACTATTTTTGTACTCTTTTGTGAAGTTCAAAAACTGAAATTTAAGAATTAGAAACAATTTTCAATTTTTTTAAATGTGCAGCCGATGTTTTTGAAAAATGCCCATTTTAAGTATGTCGGGTATAAATGCAGGGCTGCAGGATTCGAACCCAGGAACCTTTACCCTACAGTGATTAACGCCATGTCAACGTATAAACCGTTGCAGCCACCAATGCCTTATAATCTTTAATTTATGCCATTATTAGTTTTGCAAACTATAAACATATGTTTGTAGCTAAATCACGCACACTTATACTTTCTTCAGATTAGTCATTAAAAAGATTTACAGCCCTGGGTATTTTTTATCTTTAAATAATATTTTACACACATTTTGACAATTAATTTAGACCGCATCTCACGATTTCTAAATAATAATTAATTTAGCATGATTTGTTTTTTCTTTTATAAAACCAGAAACTAACTTAGTGTCTACATCTTTGTTAAATGAAGCCATTACAAAATAAATTTTCTCACCATTCGCACAGCTAATTTCACTTATATTTTTCTTTGAGTAAAATGCATAATCATTGTTAATATTCAGAAATTATTTTCAGTGGTGCAACATTAAAATAATGTTGACGGATCGGTTTGCACCATGCCTGTTTTAATTTTATTTACACTCCCAACGCAGTTTATCAAGTTACATAATTTTACTTATTACTATTGATCATTTTTCCTTCAGAATTTGACTTCTTATTTTGTATTGGTGTTTAATGGAGACTAACATAAATTTTTAGATATTGGAAGTAAGTCACTTCTAAAATTCAAGCAATAGAAAAAATATATATATTTCAAAAATTTCATAAGGTATTTTTACCTCTCCGCTTCCCGACCAAGAGCCATTATAAACGCCAAGATTTGTCTTTGTGAGGCCCAACTCTTCTAAAAACTTGTACTTAGGGTCTTCTACGAGGAATTTTCCACTGGTGTAGCTCCTCACCCTCAGAACTGAGGACGTGGAAGAGGTGAGGTATTTTTGGAGGATTCCAATCGAACGGGACATGTTGAAGCACTAATCTTTTAATGTTTATCTGGCCGTTTTAGTTCCAACTCTTGAAAAGGGTTATCAGTCGATATTATCAATTCTTCTTTACACAAACTCTTATTTAATCATTTTTTGTTAAATTTCTACTGATAGGCATAATTGAGTTATAAATATAAAATTCATGGGGGGCCTATTTATCCAAAAATTTATCACTCGCAATATAATTCCGCTAATTCAATGTCAATTTATGGAAAATAGAGTTTATACTGTTGTATAAACACAGAGAGAGAGGAATATGTAAAAACTACTGCCCAGAATCTATTTTATCTAACATTCTTAAAATATTTAAATTAAAAATTTGAATAAATTATAATGCAAAATATATCCCCTATTATACACCCATCTCAGCATGGATTTATTGGAGTTCATTCCAGCCTAACTAATCTCCTAATAATGTCCGAAATAACATCCAAGGAAATTGAAAAAGGGAAACAAGTTGATATCATATACACAGATTTTTCACAGGCATTCAACCAGAGTTGACCATAAAATATCAATTTAAAACTTATAGGTATCCACAGTCTCCTCTTAATTTGGTTTTCAACCTATTTGCCACATCGTCTACAAGTAGTAAAAATAGGAATAGAAAAAAAATATCAATCATCAATAATATATTAAAGTATCTTCTGGTGTTCCACAAGGTGCTCATATCTTCCCCACTATTGGTTCAATATTTGTATTAACGATCTTCCTTCTGTTATGACATTCCATTTCTCACCTTTTTGCTGACGACCTAAAAATAATAATAACAATTAAATCCAATGAGGATTGTCGAATGGTTCAATCTGACTTAAATTCACTTAATTTATGATCCACTGAAAACAATTTAATTAAACTTAAATTGTTGAATGTTGAAAAATGCTACAAAATGAGTTTCTTCACCGATTGTTCTCACAGGATTGGAGGAAAAAATTCCTTACAAACCACGGTGCATCAAAAGTGATTTTTAGAATTTTGTTTTGGAGAACTTGTATTTTATTGATAGTAGATGTGGCTTCCCATGCTGTGCTCCAATAGAGAACTAAATTGCATATTATAGAAGTGTATATTAGAATGCCAAATTTTCTATTCTATTCAGTGAACAGTTGAGCCAATCTACCAAATCCTTCACCAATTTTTTTTCTAATGTGTTTTTCCGAAAGTTTGTGGTCTGTATGGACTCCCAGGTACTCAACTGTTGGCTCTTGCTGTTCCAGGGTATCCGGCGTTTATCCAGATCTAATTCCATGGTTTCCTTTGAAATTGTAGTCAAGTGTCACCCTCCAGATTAATATTTGTACAGCTTGCCTACATAGTCATGTAGTCAGCATATTTTACCATTGGAATGTCACTTAAAGATTGAACAAAAGTAGAGGAAGTACTGATTCCTGTAGGATCCCCGCAGATTTTGTCTTGTTAGTTGAATTTTTCATTTATTTTGATCTGGAAATTGCTATAATATATTGCTATATTATCATCTAGGAAATTGCTGAGAATTTTTAGTTTTTAGAACATTGTTTTTTATTTTTTTTATTTTAGAATATCGTTTTTGAGTTTTTATCTTGATCCCCTATGCTAGATCTTGTCAAGGCTTCTCCATTAACAGTGTTTGGTAATTTGTAAACATAATTTTTCATACCTTTTAATATTGATTATATTGTTTTTTTTTTCTTACAAAACCAGCTTAGTTCACTTAACCTTCCACCTGTATTTATTTCCTTAAAGTTAAAAATTAAATTTCTGTAAAATTATCAACATCTTATTAATTAGCTTGCTGTTAGGTCATTTAATTGTGAAAGGTGTGTAAATTAATCAAATATATTTATTTGTCCTGCAACATTTCCTGCCAATAAACACTCCTGAGGAACACATGTTGAATTTGTCCTGGGCCAGTCTACACTCATGAGTTATTTTTATATTTGCTAATCACATAAATTATTAATAAAAGTTTCAAAGTCCTGATGAAGAGGAAAGGCAGTTAACAAAATCACATCATTGCAGATATTTATGCCAGCAAAGTTTCGTTCTTAACTACTTAACGCTGATTTCATATTACACTGAGAAATTTACTACCACCTGCACAACTGTTTAAAAAAATTATATTATTTTTTTCAATTTATGATTTCTTGAATGTGTCATTGACTAAAACACAAATAAAGCTTGTTAAGATATATTTGATGTTAAGTTTTTTAACAAAACATGATTTGTTGATGATCATTGATAAAAATAATTAATAAACAAGCAATAAGTAAAAGAGTTAAATGATTATCTATGAAATGAACACAGAACAAGAGAAATTTTACAATTTGGTTGAGCTATTCTCTTTAAAAACAATAAAATAAAAAAATAACAGCTATTGGTACAATAATGTATTACACTACATTTTGCGGATCAGTGCAATTATCTGAGAATTCTACGGAAACGCTTACAAGAGCCAAACCGTCTAAATGGAATATAAATATTTATTTGGATTTAAATATAATACAATTCATACCTAAAAAAAAATGTTAAAAAGGAAAACAATTTACAAAGAAGATAAAGCTATTTTTGTTTTTTTACATGATATAAAAAAGGAGGAAGTATGGGAGAAATACTGAAGGTTCGACATTGTTAAAATAGTCAATTATCTAGTATTTTATGGTGTTTTCTTCGTCTGAACTGTCTTCTTAGATGTAATTGCTCATCCGAACAACTTATCGAAACAGGCGTGACAGTACGGCCTGTCGTTCTGCTCTTTGAAAGTGCCCTTGTTCAGCTGTTTGAGGCAGAAAGCGCAGACGAAGTGTTCCGGGTGGAACTTTTTGAACATTGCTGTTATACATCTTCCTGAAATTTGCCATAAATGAATTTTTTTTAGCAGCAGAAAAAATAAATAAAATAAGATACCAGTGATAGGTTTATGACATCCGGCACATAGCGATCCTCTCTTAGAGTGATAATGTGTTTCACAGTATGGCAAACCTTCATGATCAAAGAATGATCCACCTTGAAACGGTTGTCTACAGTCCTATATATAGAAACAAATTATATTAAAAGTTCAACTGTACATTAAAAAAAAAACTTTTTAAAGATAAAATTGATTAAAAACAATAATTAAATCAATCAGGATTAAACTATTTATTCAAAAGAGATGAACATTTCACACTTAATTATGATTTACACACTGAAAAATATAGTCATAAGTTCATAACCAATTTGAAGAAATGGTCAATATAATTTCCATTAGGAAAAGAAACCCAGAAATAGAAAATCCTGATGCACATTAACTAAAATTGGTGAAACCAAGTTTATAAATATACTTTAAGGATTACAAAAATCAACTACTTGAATATTATTATATTTTCATGTCAATGGTTGGTTTTTGATTAAGATGAGGAAGACTTGAACATCACCGACTTATACAGAATGTAGGAAAGGATTATAAGGATAAGAAAATAATTGATTTATGCTGTTTATTCTATATATAATAGAATTAGTATTAAACACCACACGTTATTATTACATACATATTGATGTACATATTTTTCATAATGGTGAAAAAAATGCTTGGGGTCATGACCGAAGCTGTTTAGTTGAATTCACTAGTTTAACGTACTTATTACAAGACATTTCAATAGGTAATCAGAAGGTAAATAAATAAAGATATGTATACAGTTCTATAGGCATTCTGGTTGGGGTGGGTGTAATGTTCAAAGATTTTATATCTATTTTTTAAGGTTTTAAATTTAGAGGGTGTTTCAACTGTCAGGTTACATGAACCCTAGGGGTGCCGGCGGTTTGAGAAAAAATAAACATTTGTAAATATGTCCAGTGGCCCTTTATTTGAACCCGGACCTTTGCCTTACAGCGACGAGCATCTTATCAAATCCTTAACTGTTGTGGTCACTGAAGCCACTACCGTTCAAGGATTATATTTGTAAATTGTTAAGTCAACAATTAGGATAATAGACAAGTCGATGTAATTAAAGAACAATAGGATATAAATTGTATGGTAATTTTAGTTATGATTGTTGTATTTATTTTTAAATAATTCACATTTTTAAACGAATGACCTAAGTAATATTTATAACAATCCTGTTTTAAAAAGCAAGTTTTGACAAATGAAAGTCTAAGTTATTAATAAAACAGAATCATGAAAATATTTCACTTTAATTTATTTGTACCTTTGAAGAAACAAAGATAGAATAATTACTCTTTTTTTTATAAATAACATTTAAAGATTAATTGTGATAAATAAAAAGTAACTTTTTTCTGAAAATACTTGGACCAAAAAGGTACAATTTTTAATTATGAAAAACAAGTAAAAGTAGAAACATAATTTATCAATAATAAGTATTGTGTTGTTTCATAACAGATCAATTACAATCATGGTAGAAAGTCACCAGGGACCCCTATCAATTTAAAAAAAAAAATTAAATCATGCTATACCATGACATAATTTTTTCTAAATGCCTACAAATGTCTTTCACATTAAAAGTGCAGAGTTCATTCTTGTTTTCTTTTGTTTTATGATAATAGTTTTCAAATTCTTTTATTATTATTATTTTATTCCCCAAAGTGTGACAATAAATAACAAAATTATTTTCATTTGACCCGAACCCTTATTCAATGCCAGGTAATCAGCTCAATGTCAAAGTGGCGTTTTACATCGTCGGCCCTGTATGACATGAGTTGATAAAATTTATAAAAATTCTTCAAACTGGGGCACCATGTTCTATTTTTCCTATATGGAAGTTTTCCAAAAATTGAAACTGATTATATAACAGACTTTCAAGCGATTTAGGCTCTTTTCACTGGCAAACATATTCGGTGCCAATTTTCATTAACCAAATCGTTGAAAGTTGTTTATTCAGCTTTCTTTTTCATTTTTTTATGTAACTCCCGTCACTCAGAATTGTTGGGAAAAGCAATATCATAATATTATGAATAAAAAAATACTGTTTTATTTCTATACAAGTGTATGAATACAAATACAATAATAATATCAAGGGGAGAGGACGGGGAAAAAGGATAAAATGAAAAATTAGGAAAGGAAATAAATAATATTAAAAAACAAGATTTGTTGTTAATAAACAACAATAGGTTTTTTGTCGATGTTCAGTCTTCCTCTTCTTCTTCTGCACCGACACATTTTGGGCATACCGGTTTTCCTTCCATTGCATAGAATGTCTTTCCAGTAACTGGTTTCTTGCAATCCTTTTTTGTTTTTTAAAATAATAATTGTACAAATAAATAAAGCGAATAGTGCATATTACTTTAGAATTGTATATAAAAATTAAATTAATAAAACTTACCCTACACACAAAACAATCGGCATGCCATTGCATACTCAACGCTGATACATAATTTTCCATAATTGGCCTGCTACAGCCTCCACATTTAGGAGCAAACATGTCGAAATAGTCATCCCTACAATACGGCCGACCGTCCTTTTCGTGGAAGCCTTCCTCTCCAAATTGCTTTCCGCATTGTGCACAGAAGAAATGTTCTGTGTGCCAAGTTTTTTCAAGCGCTGTCACACATTTCTAAATAAAAGTGTTATTTTAGAGAGAAAAAATCAGAATCCTAGTGAGTTGTGATAAAGATAAAGTAATATTTACATCGAGAATTGGCCCGTTGCAATAAGCGCATCTTGGTGAGAAGAGATTGTGGTAATCTGGCTCGCAGTATGGGCGGCCATCCCTTTCAAAAAAATTCCTAGTGCCCAATTCTTGGTTGCAATGGCTACAAACAAAGTGTTCCGGATGCCATGTTTTGCCCAAAGCAGTGATGACTTGACCGACAATCGGTTTGTCGCAAGCTGAACAACAGCCTTTCTGGGTCGTGTTAACTCCCTGTTTGCTCATGTCTGCTTGAAGACTATCTAGCATGCAATCCAAATGTGCCGCGCCCTCTTTTTTGGTCCTGGGCTTGGCGTATGTAGACTCTGGAGGATGAGCGACCTAAAGAAGATGACACTGTTGAAATATTTTATTTTCCCGAAGAGAGAATCTTCAAAGCGGTTTGAATTAATGTAAAACACAAAATGTCTAGGTTTACCAACGATTCTAAGAAGCGCTGAAGGAGGAGGAACAAGTTCTGAGTCTAAAGGAGGCTGCTTTGGGATGAAGTATTGAATCTCCCACCAGCAGTTATCCCCTCTTTTAAACTCTATTTCCGTTAGATCCAAGAAAGGATCTCTATCTCCCGCCCTCTACTGTTCGGGTAAATATTATATTTGGCTTTCTCCAGTTTATCATATGGAAATTGCAATAAAATTATTTTCACCTAGTCACAAGACTTTTCCACTTTGTGAGCATACATGATAGAAAAGTGCGCATACATGTCTGTCAGGCCCAAACAAAATTTGTGACATAACATATTTTGTCAATTTGCAAAGAATTTCTTTCTGAATGTCAATTTACACTCTCCAAATAAAATTATTGGGTGACAAAAGTTTTACTCAAAAACTACATAAACTACTGAATGAGAAGAGTGGGAAGTACTATTTTTAGACTCAGGAGGCTTAAAATACAATTTCGTTATTTTTTCCAGTCAAGTAAAAACAAATATTTCTAATTTTTTGTTATTTTAATCAATGAAATATGAGTTTTTTAAATTAAAGTATAATCATGATCTTTAAGTTGGATAGTTGTAATAATATAAATATGTATATAATTTGAAATTTATTAATTTATCAGAAAAGTAGGTGGATATGCACATTTCCAAACTTTTTAGAAAGAACAGAAACGATCTGTTAACAACAATAACATCAAATTAATGTTAAGTAAAGGGTTAGAAAATTAAGTATGTTTATTTTATAAATTCACGGTGTGACACGAGTGGGTTCAGTATTGAATCTTGGGAGTGAAAATTTTAATACACCTCATAATTGCCAATCAGTTGAAATTTAATAGGGTCAAAAAAATTAACTGAACATTTACTCCGGACTCACTTGAAATTTGATATCTTGAAAAGGTATTTTTAGACCTTAAGCAAGATCTATAAAAAGGGTTTTTGTGAATGTGAAATCTTGTAGTTGAACGCTTTCAAAAAATTCATTAAATCAATATTCGCTTACAAATTTGTAACTCATATACGCTGAAAAACATTATGACCTATGTTAAAATTGTAAAGAAAAGACTAATAAACTGAAAAAAGTTGTGCAGATATGCAACATCAGACAACAAACATTTGTTGATTTTTCTATCTGAAAACAACCTGCAAACAATAGAGCTTGTCTAATACATTTGAGTTGAATTATATTTTATGTAAATATGAAAATATGAATACTCTTTCAGACAAAGATTTTGTTTAAAAAACAAACCAGGAATGTTGAATATAAAAAACAAAAGAGGAAACATTTTTTTTTCTTCAAATAGCGTGCATTCATTTTAACATGAACTGTTAGAACTAAAGATTAGAACTTTATTATGATCAATTTATAAATATTTTATGAATTGGTCATACTTTTAATCACTTTAAACTTGTGTAGCATTAATTCAACAATTTATTCCAAACATTTTCACGGTGAAATTTTATTGTTGTATTGTTTTGGTAGATAATACTTAAAAATAAACTAAAAAAAAAAATATGTATATAATCCAAGAATAGCAAATCAAATCAGGTCAGGTTTTAACAGTTCATTGTTCTGAGTTAAAAACATACTGGTCATCTATGATACAACATAAACATTAATAATATGAGTTAATAATTATTAATTAACACATTTTTAATAGACTCAAGAGTATTATTTATAATAGTCTTTAAATATAAAAATGTTATAATATTATTGTTTTATTGAATGGGTTCACTGTTTAGTTGTATTTCAGATCATTTTTTAAAGATATTTGTTGTTCTATAAAAATATACAAATATGTAAACATGTTATATTTTAATTTTTGAAGGGATATATCTAACTTATCTATTATTTATTTATGTTTAAGATTTAAAAAAATAGTGAAACAAAATATCATCAAGGGATTTTGTCTAACCTTTACATTGGGCTATTAAGAAGTGTGATGTAAAATATAGTGACAGATGTTTCCCTCCCTTCAAAACGGTCGACCCTCTGTATAGAAAACATGACGTCAAAAAAAGGTTGGAAATATCCCAATTTTCGTACTAAAAGATCGTTTTCAAAGAAGTGCCCAATTGTTATCACTTTCCAATTATAACTTTCTGATTTTAGACATTCAATCTTTGAGTCGATATATTTAAGAACACTTACCTTGAATTCGGACAGCGATGCCATCAAGTCATCGAGTTCCCTTGTTGCAGAAGACGCAGTAGGCCTTGTTGTTTTTGTAGTGGTTGTCGTTGTTTCTTCGATCATGACTTTCTTCAAAAGGTGGCTGTCCTGGCCAGGGGCAGCTCTAAAACAGTAAATGAATAAAAAAACATGAGCAACAATAAATATATGCAAAAGATGCAGAAACATTTGTTATTAAGCTTAAACAATGCCTTTTTTAAAATATAAATGCAAACATTGCATGTCATGATTTCAATTTATTTTTAATCACAAATTCCAAGTTTCTGATTTAACATACTGACAGGTCAACTTATACCTGGCAGAATCTTAAAACAATTTTAGAAGGTCATGAAGGGTGAAGACTAAGAGGAGTCAATTTCTGGAAAATTAGGCTAATTTTTATCAGTAGGGCTTATTGCTAAATTATCAAAAATAATTTCATAAGATCGATGTGATTTCTGCACTGTTCAGTTCCACATATGCAAAATTTATGTGCCATTGTAATATTTTTTAACCTTTAAGAACTAAAATGCTATTTTTAATAGAGGTGGAAAACAAAAAAATAATAATCCACAAATTTATGCCTTACAATATTTGCAAGAATAGTTTCTGTAGTCATACAATTTGACCAGGATGAATTAACCTCAACTGCAGAACCATTTTGCAAAGTGTGATGCAGTTGTTTGTTTTACCAATTTATATCTTTTGTATTTTCGGTGGTTCTTACAAAGAAAATTAAAAAAATATCTATAAGAAGAAAATACTAAAAACAAAACCAAATAATGCTAATTTTGCTTGGTAGTATCCTCTACCAATACAACCGCAAAAGAACAAATAGAATGGGATCAGTTCATCACAAATTAATCCCCAATTATCCAGGATTCGGAGGATTTTTCCCATTAGAAACAGAATGATTTCTGTTTTGCTATTTGAACTTTCATAAAAAGATTACTGTACAAATTATATATTATATATCAATCAACCAATATATCAATTTTTCTTTGCTTGCTAGAAAAAACAGACATGAATTGTTAAAAGATTGATTATCAAACCCATGATTAGAATCACCCTCTCTGGTGTTTTGGTCATCTAGGGTCACACCATCACCGAAGTTAGGCTCCAGGGGCTATCAACAACAAGGTCATTTCAGCTTCAAACACATGCATTTTTATCCTAAACGCACTCATTCTTTCTAATTTACTCAAATTCACTCTTGTACTGCACACACATTCATGCTTATAATTATATTAATTATTATTAATTAATTTATAAGGACTTTGTTGAGATGAAAAAATTAGCCCACGAGAGGGATTTGAACGTGGGTTCATGAGACCTTCAGCTCAATACACCGCTGCTCTAACCACTTGAGCTATCGTGACTTTGACTCCCCAACGCAACCTACAACCTGTTGAATTTTCCCTATTTTTGCCATATTTTCATTCCACTCATGATAAGAAAAGCATAATTAATTTAAAAAATTAATATGGTCAATTATAACTACTAAACATATGTGGATTCTTATAAATACATTTTCAAGAAGTGGTTAACACAAAATCTGTCAACAAACTTTTTACTTATACATTAATAAGATTAACTGTAATGAAAAATCTATATATTTAAAAATACCCGTTTCCTCAAAAATCATAACAGGGGAGTGAAAGATTCACAGCTGTATCCAAGCATAATTTTTATATTGGGTGACATTTCTACACGTTCTCTATGTGGAGTCAAAGACGCCCTTAATGAAGTAAGAGATACATTGAGCAACTTTTCTCTACATGTCAGAGTTTTGGCCCAAAAATAAGGGACCATGTATGTCTGATTTTGAGTCGGGTTGGTATAATCCTTCTTCTGCGATTTAGACTCTGGTGACCATCTAACAACTGTGCTCTTGATGTTCTTTTTCTTTACCAAATTCATTATTACTTGGTTAGTGTCAGTGGGTCGGATTTTGACAGTAAGGTCTGGAGGGTGGCTTTCGCCGTCTCGACCAGCATTTGTTGCCCTCCATCCCTAGGTGTCCGGGTATCCAGGTTATTACTTTTGTTCGAGATATTCCTGCTCATATTATAGTAACTTTCAAACAAACAGGATGAGAAAGAGAATCATTTTTTGAGAGCACAAAGCACACAGGCAAAGGCATGAATCTTCCCTTGATTGCATACAGGTTGGTCATGTACATACTACAATGTGGAAGTAGGGTCCATGAAGCGGATACTCCTTTACTGTACCTGGTGCAGTTTGTGCTATTTTATAAATTACTGTTATAATGTGTCATAGAAGTTATGATTTTATTTATATGAGATTTTGAAATATTTGAACTCCATTTAAAAATATTTTATTAGCCTGTTAAGAGAAATATAGTATTTTTTATATTAACTATGGACTTTTCTGTTTCAAACTCTGCTTGTTATCTCTTGGTAAAAATATTTTTCGATCAGTTTTGAAAAATTAATCAAAATTGTGCAATTTTGTCAGGCTTCTGTGCATAATTTGGATTAGAAATAGTTTGAAATATTATTATATTTCAGATTTTGCTTTATGTTATGTATTTTTTTAAGGGTAGTAAACCAGGAGCTGGCAGATCAGTTAAGCATAATTATTTAAGACTTGTATATTTCTTATATCCTTGAATTGTCCGTTTTAAAGCGTTGAAGTTTACCTCTTAAAATACAGAATATCTAGGCTAAGTAAACTACATGGTGGCAAAAAATAGCACCTTTTCAAATTTCACCTGAACGACGCAGGGTAAGTCTTTAAAATATGTGTCCTACTCTACATTTTGACGAGAATTAGGGTTCGGCGGCGGGGGTGAGTGTGTCAACGATTAAACTTGAATAAAAACATTATTAGAAAAAGGGCGGTTCTTGGCATTCTTCCCTCTGCAGTCGCGGCCTGCTCATCTCAAACTTGAACTGCGATCTCAAAAGGAAACGAGGTTGCCCTTGTTTCATTAATAATCTGAAATTCAAACACAAGCTTGGAATATTGATTCGTCGTTTTTTAACTTTTATTTTCTACACGACGTGTTACATCTCACCCTAAAGATAAAGCATTGTTTCATGCTGAATGATTTACTGGTTCGCCTTCGGCCAACAGAATGTGTTCTTGTTTGCCTTTAATCTATCCGAGCCGCGTGAAAAGCACACAAACATGCCAGAAAGATAAATACAACCAGCGAGAGTTGGCGGACCCATAGAGTTCATTCATTCAACTTCAGTTCATTCGCTCCTAGGCCAATTATCATTCTAACCGTCCAACCATATGTTACTATATTTTCTATATACCATGTATTAATTCTAAATAGCTGGATGCTATCATGTTCCTTTTTGGTGGTTTTCCAAATTAGATTTTACTCAAAGGCAACGAATCTTTTTTCTGGAATATGAAAGGCGCTAGGGATAATATTTCAAAGAATGTACTAAAATGGTTAAACCTTACAGTAGTCACAACTGCGAACCAAAGATTTTATATTTTAGTTGGATTAACTGGAGATTTGGTTTAATTTCACATTCAGTAGGCTAATATCTAGCACAACAGATTTTTAAAAATAGTTCTGCCTGCGATTTAATTTAAAGACGTTGACATCGTTTGTTTAACGAAACAATTTTAATCACCAACATTTGGTAATTAAATCAAAAGCGAGAACGGGCGGACCAGGGTTATCGGGAAGAACAACTAATAGAAAAAACCTCTGTTGTTTTATATAAAAAGGCTTGACGACCAGCCTTGGGTGTCGAGGGTCAAACCACTGTACAATACTTTTTTTAATAAATAAGCCATGGGTCGGGACCGCTACCGTGTCAAAGACGAGACAGACGCTAACCTTTTGTTTATTAAACAACAAATATAAATAATATGTTTGATCTGAACTCCGGAATTAATTATAAACAGGAGAAATTTACGCAAAAAGAGTCGCCTTCTTGCCTCTCCCTGCTTATAACCCTGACGTCCGCCAACTGACTTTCCGGCCGGGGGCACTTTTTTTCGGAAGAAATCACTTCAAAAACATTAGGGATTCATAAGCCTTCTGAAAGAAGTGCAAATAAAGTGAAGAATGTTAGATTTTAATTTTAGTATAATTTTGCAATTATTTTATAATCGTGAAGGTTTCTTGTTTAGTACTCTACTATTTCAGATTTTTTTCAAAAAGCAAAGTATCCTAGTAAGTCTAAAAATTAAGTTTCTAAGTGTGCCATGTGACCGACAAAAAGTCGTTATGTAGGCCATGCCTGTGTCGTAGCAAGAATGTTCGGAACCGAGTGTACCCAAACATTGGCATAACTCGCCATAACACTTGGAAACGGACCAAAATCACCTCGGGTTTGTTTTTTTCCCTTTTCATACCGTCTCAAATGTCAAATACTTCGTATACCAGACATAATCCACGTTCAGGACGGTTAATTTTAATTTTTTTATTTTTTTAAGCTGGCTAATTGACTGCTAACGCAGATGATGAGATGCCGACATTGAAGTTATTTATAGCGTAGTGCCTTATGCATACAGGATTCACTCTATACACCTGTCTGTACTAATGTATCTATAAAAAAAAAGAAAAAGAAAAAAAAAGTATTTTGGACCAAAAAACAGGCAATGAATTAAGTTAAAAACAAATTTGAATTATTATTGGAAAGTAGATTTTTTAAATAACATCAACTGAAAAGACTACTCTTAATTCCGCTTTGATACTCACTCAAAAATTTGTAAATTTATATCTTAAAATAGGCCTAATATTTTAGTTACACTAACTGTAAAAACTCAAAAGATAATTTAATAACATATCTACAACAATTTGGTGTACCGGTGACGGAAGTGTATGCATTTCCTGTCTTCATCTAAAGCGACAATACCTTCACACTTCCACAATAGTTGTAATAAAATATTGCAAAATCCCAGGAATATAATTTTATAGACGTAATATTGTTTATTGATGAGATTATAATTTGTTACCGGTCATTTTGGTCTGTCTACCTGGGTTGGGTTGGTCTGACAGATCCATCGAGGAAGGCAGGCCAAAATGAACGATATCGGCCAAATTATAGGTTTACCCGCTGACCACAGAGAAATATTACAATTTGAATTAGTTTTTATTTTAACAAGAGTTGTATAACCATTTGTAAAAGG